ACTGTTCAACTTTTTATATATAGGGTTGAAGAAGTTAGGAGCAAATGTCAGTCAGCATGTGCAGGGGTTATTTCAAAGTCAGTTTCCATGCATTTTTAATAACGGTATAATACATTCACGGTACATTTTTGTACTGAAATGATCAAGTACAATGAACCAAAGTTCAATTATCTTATTATTTTTTTTCATCTAATTCGGAATTTAGCAATTTTTCAATGAAATTAGAAACTCTATCGAATGAATTTTCAAAATTTCTATTTTCGAATCATGTCACATTGATGTAAATATTACATAATATTTTTAAACATATAATGATTAATAATAATTAATGAATCAATTATTAAGTATAAAATATCACTGGATCTTGTTATTGAAAAATTTTTTTTTAAATCTTCAAAAAGATATTTTGAAAACATCTATAGAAATTTAATATGGTATGATTAATTGATTATTATTTATAATTGTCCGAAATCTTGAAATCCTTTTTTAATGAAATCATTCATTTTTATTTAATTCATTCTTCAATTTTTGGAACATGATAAATTAAAATTTGTCATAAAAAAAATTTTAATTGAATTTTTTAAACAAACAAATAAGACTTATTTATTTTTTAGATTTAAAACTTGAAAGCATTAAGATTTTACTTTGATTCTTTGGTTCAATTACATGATGATATCCATACCAAAGTGAATAGTTACAATGCTTTTTCAGATAAAACGAGATGTTCAAGAAGTGTGTTCGTTAAACTTGGCACAGATGAAATACACGATCATGATCAATTGAATGACGTTTGTAAAAGATACGTGACTTTGAAATTCAATTCATCATTCATTTTTTCTTTTTTTTTTTTTTTTGCTAAAAATTTATCTGCCTAAAATGTATATTTAATGATATTAAATCGAATTGAAATTCAATAATGTAATTAATCCTCTTATTTTGTGAATTATTCTGATATTATTTTTGCTCTAAAATTTACGGCGATTGAAATTTACGTATATTTTAATTACTTCTAAAATAATTACTACAAAAAATAAATTTTTGACTTTTAATTAAAATAAATTTTAATAAGTAACTATATATATATAATTGCAAGTACTTAAAGAAAAATAAAAGAATTTTTGTAATATTCTTATAAATTCAAAATGCATTGTTCTCTTTTTCAAGTATCTTTGAGAATATGAAAAAGAAGTCATCGAAATTGTTTTTTATCAATATTAACAACAAAACCTCGAAATAAAAGTAAATATTAAATTTAGAAATTGATGCCTTTTTTAAAATAAAGTTATCATTTGTTTAAAAAAAAAAATCACACAAATTTTATTCATTATTCAAAATAAAAGATTCGCCATTGCTTTCGATGACTTTGTTCAAGAAAATCATTGCAGAAAAATTTCAAATCTTCTAATTGAAAAAAAATATTAGTTTTAATATACAATCATCGATATTTTTTTACATATTTTCTAATCAGTTAAATAATATTAAAATTGAATGTATATAAAATCTAGTAAAAAAGTGATCCTCGTGCTAAATAATTTTTTATTTCTCGGAGAAATAAATTATATTTTTGTTTTTTATTTTTTGTCATTAATCTCTTAAGATTGATGCTGGTAATAATTTGCATCATGATAATTGAGAAAAAGTCGTAGTGAAAACAAGACAATTCAGACAAATAAATGCAATATCCAAATATTCATGGGCTTTTTCATATTATTTATGCATTAAACCCATTGTTCTTCTTCTTTTTTATCAATAAGAAATGGAAATTGCAACAAAGAATCGTAACTAAGTATAACATAGAGATAATAATTCAAAAATGTATTCTTACTATAATTACATATATCTCATATTAAGAGTAGCGTAAGATCTCATATTTGGAAACATTGTAAACAGAAAAATTAAATTAATCTAAGAGCAATTTATATAAATTTTTCATTTAAAATAGATAATAGAATTTTTATAATACAAAAAAAACTTGAAATAATGTAATGAAGAAACTTAATCAAAACTTGCTGAAAGAACTTACCTTATAAATAATTATATAAATATGCGAACGAGTATAGATTTTAATAGTTTGTTAATGGAAAAATCATATTCATAGTTCCAATTACGTTTCTTTATAAAAAATACTACAGACTCTCATATCTTTCTACTCTGTCACACTCTTCACATCTTACGAGATATATTTAAATCAAAATTACAAATAACCTAAAAAAAAAGCGGACTAAGTTCTGTCGAATTAAATCCTAACCCCTTAATCAAAAATAAATTTCTGAATTTTACATGCTATTTCCCACTGTGCCACTTTCGATCTTTAATTCGCTTATAATCCCACCGATAGATCTCAGTTCCGATAGATCACTCGAACCCCACTCCAACTGTACAAAGATAAGCCACAAAGACAAATACACCCATCCTCGAAAGCAACGGCCGTAGCCAACCGCAATTGTAAAACTACACGTGACGAATGCGCGAATAGGAAACGTTGCTCGATCGAAAATAGAACATGGACACGAACGAAGCTGTTTCCACTAGTGAGTGAAACACTGGCCAATCCGGCATCGATGCACACTCGTGACTCGTTCCGAACTTTTCTCTCTCTCTTTCTCTATCTCTCTCTCCCGTTCGATAGGTATAGTAAATAGCGAAATGAGATGCGGTTTCTTCACGGGAATCCGACGACTGACTGGAGAATTCGCAGACGTGCGCCTTTAATTTAGAGCCACGGAGCGCCCTCGAGTTTTCACACTGCATACGCCCCGCTCCTGTCCATGTGTACACCGTGTCTGCGTGTATCCCGTACACAAATCCCTGGCCAAAAGTGGCTTTTCGCGTTGGATACCGTTGCTCGAGTGCTATCGACTGGATACACAATCCCGCCGTGTTAATTGGCCAAAAAGGTCGCGACTTCGCCGTTTTCAAAAAGTAGGATGTTTAAATTAGCCGATCTTAACCTCTCTCGCACGTGCTCTTCGAGATTGGATCGTGCAGTGAAGATGGAGGTCCTTTTCCTCGTGTGCAGATAGCGATGTTCAAGATGTTTGAGACACGTCGCAGAGTGTTTTTATCGATTTTGGAAATTTTAATTGAAAAGCAGAAGTTGATTTTCTAAATCAATAATTTTCCATGAGACGAAGTATGTTAAAATGATTATTTTAATCGTTGGAAATTTTTCTAATTTATGACAATATGAATTTTGTTTTCGATAGATAATGTTTCTTCGCGTATAAAGATAATTTTAATTTATTTACAATAATAGTTTAATTATAATTGCTTTTTTTTTCGTTTAATTATAAATTATATGGTTTTATGTTATGTAAAATAAATATTCGAAATTTATAATATTACGATATACTATATTTTTCTTTAAATAGTGAATTGTTTTTGATCATCAATCAAAAATACTTAAATACAACTTTATCGCTTGAAGATAACTCTTAAGCTCGAGTATGGAACGAATAATTGTGATGCATTTTTTGGAACAATATTGTAAATAGTTATGACAGTCAAAATATGAAAGATTGTATTTACATGTAATGCAATGTTCCATAACCTATTATTAGCTGCATACATTTCAAAAAAGAAGATCGTGCCATTGTCCATAACCTCTAAAAGCGAAGAAAGAAAACTAAATTTGTTAAATATTGTAATATTAACGTGTAAATTTTATGAAAAAATTATTCTAGAAGTAAAATCTAAACGGGCGATTGCATTTCTAACGAAAATTTCAATGTAGCTTCGAGTGTAATCAAATAGCAAATAAATAGAATTATATTCATTAGGAAAGATATTGGTACAGTAAAACATTAACACGCTATGATTGCAACTAGAGGTCATCTCTCTAGAGGTTGCTTGTATATTTTATCGTTAATTCAAAGAAGCTTCTCTGGAGACGTGCCCTAAATTTACTAGATTCTAAACTTCCTTAAGATATTATAAAGTCGAAATGTTTTCTTTTGCATTGCGTATAGATATTGCGATATTTTGTTACTTTCTTTGTCGTAATGTATAAAATAAAATATAATTAAAATAAAATTTTTTATGAAATACTAAAAGTATTATTTAATTTCAAATAATTTTATATTCGAAAAAATATTTGTCGAATATTTTTTTTTTTAGAAGATAATGATATTATCGATTAAAGTCTGCTTCGTTATTTTATATACGCTTCAGTAAAAATTTACGATTATATTGTGGATTTCATAATTAAGGTTACACGATTTCAATCAACATTAACAGTATCGATTCTGGGATTTATAATGATTTCAGTTTTAAATTCTATGTTTTAAAATCGTATAATAAATATCTTAACCATTGTTCAATAAGTATTTTAACACTGGCATATATTTTAACTAAATGTATGTATAATGTATAATTTAATCATAAAATTATCTACATTTGAAAATCTTTAATTATTTTTTCCTTATTTATTTTATTCTATATGATTACTGATGATATGAAAAAATATTATAATAAAACAAAAATTTATTTTTAAAATGTAATATGCAATAAGAAAATTGATATGTAGTAATTGCAGAATCTTACAAGTATTTTATTATGAAAAGAATAAATATAAATTATTTTCAAATTTAATTTTACTATAAATTTATCATATTGTTTCTAAACATCTCAAAGTATTCAAATACTTATAAACAACAGTGTTATGTACATCATGTAAAGTAAGAGAGAGTCAATTCTAGAGAGGCCAAGATAAATATAAAAATTGGTATAGAAAAATATAAAATTAAGTTGCTTATTTACTAAACAATTAAATAATGTTATAAATAATTAATATTTTTGAATACTAATTTTTATTTTTGATCTATTCTGGCCCTTTAAACGTAACACTTTCATACATTCCCTTTCCAATATTCCCAAATTGTAAAATTGGACCAATGCAACGAAATCCTGTCGCAAATAAAAGTTTCGTCTAGTTTTGGCAGAACTGTAGAAATTGATGAGCAATTTTTTCGATTAAAATTTTTTTTTCTTAAATTACTCACCCATGTCGTCGATGATTGGCGCCATCCTGAGGGTAACCCCGACCAAGAGCAAAGACATGGTGAGAAGGAGGCAAGCTGTGGCCACGATCGTCCAACGCGCCCGTGGTGGAAGTTCTTCAGGATCGACGAGCTCTTCTTGAGGGCCGGTATTGTTAATCTTGCGCCGTTTCCGCTTCCTCTTTCTGCGTGGCCGGTGATACTTCTCCCGAGGTGCCTCGACCTTCTCGGTACCGCTCAAAATCTCCTCTTCTTCCAGCTCATCCGCTACGTTCAACGCCACGTAATCGTCGTCGTCGTAGTGGATCTTTCTGCAAAATTTTTTCCTTTCTCGTTATTTTTCTTTGATTTTGAAACTAGTAATGAGTGGTATTGCAACAGTTTAAAATATAATTAGAAAAATATATAACAATAGAAAAAACTTTGTTAATGTTTTTGTATGTTTGTATGATACAAGCGAGGCCATAATGTAATAGTAATTTTTTTGTAAATGCATTATACTAAACGATGTATTCCATTTTTCGTTTATCACGAAGTGAGGTTATGTTTTATGAAAAGAGTTCTTGTAATAATTGATTATTTATTTTGCAATATAATGATCAACTTAAAATTCCTTTCAGTTATTTGATTGCTTGAAAAAAAAGTAAAAGTATTGAATTTATTTGTGAATTAAAATTTTTTCATTTTTTATCCAACAGATAGAAAAATTGTTTTAAACTTTTTGACAATTACGATTTTTCATATGGGAAACACAATACACATATCTCTATTTCAAGTAAAAAGTATTGAATTAAATAATTGTTAAAATAATTTTATCAATAATAATAATAAAAAAATGAAAAATTTCAAGATTTGTGATTGAGAGTCGCTGTTCTAGGCTATCCAACTCGAAGATTAAAGCAAAGAAAAAGCAAACCAATTTCCCTTGGATAACTTTCGCTCGCGTAATCGTGAAAAGATACAACTTGCGGTCGTGTTCTCCGTTATCCAATGCAATATCTTACGATATTGAATACTATATTGTAGTAGAGATATAAATCTACAGGGAGATCTATAAATTATAGACAATTGCAGGAGTACCAGGTTAAATTTAACTGGTAATTCAACAAGTAGATAAATAAATAAAAAGCAATAAAAGTTCATTTTTTCATATAAAAAGTGACAAACAAAAATCTATCCAATCGATTTTTTTTTTTTTCATAAGAATACGAATATATGCAAATACACAGATTTTTCCATTCAAGTTCACCTTTATCCTTAATTTTCTGGAATTAAAAAAAAAAATTTAACACTTTTCCTTCAAAACAGTTTGATCAAAGTTAATCTTTCTTCGCTTCAACGCAATTTTATCTTCTTTTCTACTTAATTTTTCTCGTATATAATCATCTCTGTTCAGGATCGAGAGACACTCTGTATAAAGTTTCCAAAACCACAAAATTGAAATTAATATTAAACAGTTTCGAAGATCTACGCCGAAAATACTTGAATACAAGAGGGAAACTTTATAACATTGACAAAGTTTCGTTCAACCGTTAAATATTTCAATACACTTTTGCAATCTATGTCTTGGAAGAAGCCACTATTAGCACAAAGTAAAATACTGTATTATACTTTGAAAACTAAATCGATGCTTATAGTCGTTGCTCGACTAGTAAATTAGAAGTTGTGATATCGGGACATTTGACGTGTCAGGATTCATTATTGAAAGCAATTAATTTTATTTAAAGAAAAATTACATTTATAACAATTATCGATATTTATTAAATTTCGTAAAATAAATCTCTATTTAAATTCTAGATTGAAATTCTGGTTAATCAAAATTTTAACTACGAATTTTAATTTTGAATAAAATTATTGCGCTATTATTGTCGAGAACAATCTTATCAAAATTCTAACGTGTAATTATTAAATTAATATAAATAATAATTTCAATCGAAACTTTAATTCGGCTGATATATGTTTATTTAATCTCGTTAAACAGTTCGACGAAATTACATACAATTTAATACACGATATTTAAAATTTGTGACAGATCGATTTCCTCCGAGAAAGACTATTTATATCGTTTACGTATATTCTTCAAAGCATTCTTTTTTCATGAAATATTTATTAAATTTCGCAAGGAAAATATTCAATGTCTCTCTGGTATACGTGGAACTGCATTGTATATTTTTACATTTTATTTACGTTTTATTTTTTAATTAAAATATCCTTTATCCACAACACGTGGATTTGAGACATTTTAAAATTTTACTTTATTCAGCCGAAATGAAAGATGAAAATATATATCGATTTATAGGTTTCATTGAATAATTAACGAATAATAAAGCTTCTCTAGGATTAATAATATTAACAAAGTTATACATAAATAAAATACAGTAAAAAGTAAAAAGACAAAAGAATTATGCTTGTTACAAAAATGATGGAATAATAAAATTGAATTTTACATAAAAAAAATGTAAATATTGCTATTTTACTTGACTTTAAAATGAATTTTATATTTTCCATTTAAATGTAGAAATATATTGCAACTGTTAATAAACAGCAAAATATTTTGCAAATTCTGAAATTTGAATAAAAAATTAAAATAATAAAAATAAGTTTGCAATTTTCAGCCAAAGCCTGTAAGTGATCGAGAAATATAATTATCGCGATATACCTTAATTTTATCACTGAAATTCTCATTCAATTATCATACAAAAATTGATCGACAAGTAATAGTCGCTTTTTCAAGTTTTAATTCATCTCACATTATAATATTTTTTAAATAAATTTGGTATCGATAAAATGCTGTAATCCAAATTACTAAATCGAATATCAATTTTTTTTACTGATATTACCGATCAATTACTGAATTAATTTCACTAATGGCAACGTATTTTCCTCGTTAAGAAATCACGAAATTAATGAACGCGTTATATTTGTCGGAGCATCGTTTCTAATCCTTTAGCGGGTTAATCCATAATTAAAGACGTTTCAACTTTCGTACAAGTGGCTCGATCCAGAAATGTGTCGGACAAAGCCGTCTGATAAAACATCCGACGTATTCGTAATATAGGTCATGCCATATTTTTCAAGTATTACTTTTTAAACTGAGATTAAATGAAGAAAAGTGTATATATATACACACACACACACATCCTGTATATAATCACGTGATATATTTCAATTTACGTCTAATTTACGTAAATTTGAACGAGAGAAACCGATATCTATCTTATAGGTTATGTTACCTTACAGGCCGATAATAAAATAAATATTTTAAAAAAGAAAGAAACGTTAATTCGTAAAATGGTTAAAAAAAAAAAAGCTTAGAAGATTAATAATACACATTTACCTAATTTCTTCACGAGTTGAAATGAAATTGTTAGTGATATACTTTCACAATGAAGTAAAATTTAAAAAAAATATATAGTGTGAGAAAATTTACGACAAAAATAAACATTAATGAGGAAGGTAGAGATGAAATTGGAAGGAAAATCAAGGAATCTTGGAAGAGAATAAGGTCGTAATTGGAGGAATCATGATAAAAATATGGATAGAGGTGCTTCAGCGTGCAGCAGCTTGCGAGGGGGAGCCACATCATTACGTCGAACAAAAGGAGGGCTATTGTCGATCTCGTGCCAACTGTACGCGTATAAACATCGCGCGATATATTGCTTTGGAAACGTGTTATTTCTCGTGTTGTCTTTTCGATCGTAGAGCTGTAAGTGGTATGGTCCGATGATAAGTCAGATTTCTAAAAATTCTAAAATTTCTTTCTGTTTCATTAATTTCAAGTTCAATATACGTATAAAATACGTATATAAGGAATTTATAATTATAGTGTATATACGGAAAATTTATATTATAATAATAAGTTAGTTAGTTAATAAGCATGAAATGATAGATAGCTATTAATATTAATATTAATTACAAAATGAAAGTCATTTTTCAGAATGATTCATCTCGTGTTCGGATGATCGATGTTCTACTTCATAAGAAAAATTTTTGACGCTTCAAAAGTATGAGGTATTTATTGAAGAGAATTTGTTGAAAAAAATATATGCTTCATGAATCAATATTTTCTACATTCGATCGTAATTATTTATCCGTTTCAACATAACGTAATTTCAAAAATGGAATAAAAATAATTGAAGACTCGAAACTACAAAAAACAAATTATTAATCATTGAATAAAAAGTCATACTTTTATTTCCTCGCAAATTCATTTAAATTTTACAGTTCCTTTTTTTTTTTTTTTTTTTTTCCATTTCCAATAAGTATATCCTCTCCTTGAT